GCGTAGTGAAGAACCCAAGTGCAGTTTATTTACAGGTGATCCAAACATCCAAACAATAATCCAAACAGACGAAGACTAGAGACACACACTTGACGAGGCATGAACACACTTGACGAGGCATGAACAGACTTGACGAGAACAGACTTGACTAGACTCACCAACAGCAGGTTACAACATCAACAATACACGATGAGAGACATGATGGCTAGTTATAGCAGACAAGGAGGGTCCCATGACATGAACAAACCAATGGGAAACAAGACATGACCTAGACAACCAATCAGAACATGACACAATGAACATAGGAACCAATGGCAGAGATACATGAGGGCAAGGGAAGCATGACACGAACAGGGTGAAACAATACAAAATAAAAGATATGAACATGAAACAAAACCCAAACACCACATTACAATAGCTTAAGGCTATTTTACCTTTGAGCACTTTTTCTACAGTCCATTATGTTCTTTTTGTTTTCTTATGCAGTGCGATAAATAATCGTTTGTAAGGGGGACAGAAAAACTTTAACATAATATTATAATATAATAATATTAGCTGTTAAATGCAGTAATACCATGCAATTACAGTTACATATGGCCTATATATAATGGCTTATTAAGTGCTTCTGTTTTCCCCCTTTTAAATGGGCCTATTTAAGAAGAATTAAACCAGGATTTCTTTTCACGGCACAAATAGAGCACAAATAAACGCGGCATTTGCTGTGGAGACCGCCTGGAATTAGGCTATTTATATGACCTAATTAACAATAATATTAATATTAACAAATATTCGTGGGGAATAGGCCTAGGTTGTTTAATATTCTAACGGCACAAATCGAGCACAAATGAATTGGAACGATTTAGACTCAATGTAAAAAAAAAAAAGGCGGTCTCACCGTTTCAACTTAATGCTGCCTTGAAATTTAAGCTTAGTCAACTTGAAATATGAAGTTAGTGAAAACTTGGACCTAACTAAACTTGAAATTTTAAGGCAGCATAAACACTATTTATTTTTTAAACTCTGCGGCCACGCTAAACGGAGTGGAGAGTAAAGTAGTGAAAACTTGGAGCTGACTAAACTTAAAATTTTAAGGTGGCACAAACATTTTTTTTAACTCTGCGGCCGCACTTAACGGGGTGGAGAGTAAAGTTCCCGTTATATTTAAGAAGAGGTCATGAATCAGCACAAACATAGCACAAACGAATGGCATAGTTTTGATGATTATTTCTTTTGATGGGGTGCCAACTTCACGGAGGTTCCCGAGAGACCATTTTGAAGGCTCAGGAAACCTTTGCAGGTGTTTTGAGTTGATTAGCTGATTGGCATGTCACCATATT